CCTCCCACTCCCTTCCCTTGAGTCAACTCCTCTAATAGGAGAAGAGAATTTCACCCTTTATCCCTCACCTTTGATTTTACCCTCCCCCACCTAAGAAAGGAAGGAGGGGGGAGGGGGCAGCAGCTACATTGTGGGCCCCCCTGGCAATGGCCTTGGGCCCTACCACAACCTTTGCCTGGAAGTATCACCCAGGTTCAGTACATCCTGCTCAAGGTAATGAAGCTAGCCTCTGAACTTGGGTAAGCACGCTCTTAAATTTGTAGTTTTAACTGTTAATGATGAGATGTTGATTTTCTGCGTAATTTGGAAATGCATTTAACAAAACTGAAGTTACCTAATTGGTTTTAAAATTGCTGAACTTTTCATATCAGTTATGTCAAGCAACTTTTCATAATTTGGTTACCACTAAAGTAATTTGGCTATTGTTGTTTATTGTTTTAACGTGTAAACTAGCCAAAAAGCTTGTTTGGGTTATGGTTTGCTAAGAATTTGCAAATGTATAGAAATCTCTAATGATTGGCTTTTTACACCAGGACAAATTTAAGTTTGAGATGTAAATCCTGGAAGAGCTTTTCCTAAGTTGTGATTAGTGAAACTTGCTGTTTGAGGTAAAAGCTTCTAGGATTTTATTTTGAGTTGTCTGATGGATCATAATAATCTAATGATAATCAATAATCCACAATCTGAGAGAAATGCCACAAGCTACTCAGAGAATGTAATACTGGTGGGAAGTCAGCATTAGGAAAAGCTGAGAGGACAATTTTAGCCTCAGTCTAAGATGGCATCCTCCTAGCTCAGTTTCTCCATTATGTTCCTTTGAAAAGGAATGTTACCCACCTGGCTATTCCTGAGTCTGGCTATGAGGTGGATTTGATATTGCATGGTTGGGTATCTGAATTATCTGAATCCAAACTAAGGATGTTTTATCCTGTCATACCTGGGCCCTGAAGTCTTTTCTGTCAGGTTTGTGTCTTCTAGACTACAGGCCATTCACCTACAATTTATAGCAAACAGTGGGTACTAGCCAATGTCCCCCCATTGTTCTCTGCATGCAGCCTGTGCTCAGTTCCAGTCAACCTCCTCTTTGGGACCCCCTCGAGGCAGGGACAACTCTATGCCCCTTGCCAGCAGGAAGCAGTTTCAGAAGCCAAGACCTTTGCCCCTTACCCCTAAAGAATTTGGGTCCCATTTTTTTGAGGGGGGAATGGTGAGAATGGGAGCTAGACCCCAAAAAGGAAAAACCCTAGACTTTCCCACTTGGCTAAATCTCTGGCATCTGCCTGAGGCAATAAGCCCATCAACTGGCCTTTCATTGTGGCTATACCCAACCTCTTTTACCCCATGGTCCCCAACCGCTTCCCACCCTTAATCCTAGCTAGGCTCCATTCTCCCTTGACCACCGTGGTCCAGGTCCCCGGCTTTCTATTAACTCACAGTCACCCCCCACCCCAGCCTACTTGGCCACTCCTAGATCCCTCCCACAGTTTTTCTGTATATAAGGTCCATCTCGTCTCTATTAAGATGCCTAGATTCTTAAAATCTAGCCACTGCTCAGATCCTTATAATCTAGCCAATAGTTTACTAATTTTCAGACTCCTTAAGAGTCTGCCCAATATGACGGATGTTCTAATAAACCTTGTCTTTGGCTGGAAAAAAAAAAGCTAATGGAAGTGATTGTTGATAAATCAAAATAAACTAATAAAAAAGGAAATATATTTGACAAACATATATAAGTTTTTAAGTCTATATAAACATGTTATATATTTTAAGTCTATATAAACATGAGTTGGGGAAAAAAAAGAGAAAGATGTTTTCTCTCTGTTCCAAACAATCAATTTACAAATGAACTTTTAAATTTCAACACATCTGTAAAGTGAGAATAGTCTGTTCATGTTTTCCCTTTTTTGCCACATTAAACGTGCCTTCAGGGCAGTGATTTTAACAGTGTTTTACTAATCTTTGTATCCTTTCAGTGCCTTAACACAGTGCCTTGCCCAGTGGAAGTATATAAAACATATTTGTTGATTAATTGCAAGGGAAAGAATAGTTAGGCTCTGGCAGAATTTCAATTATCATTAGGATGTATTTGATATAGGTAAAAATAATAGCTCACTTTAAAAGCTTTCTTCAACAGCTGAACACCTGACACGTGACTGCATGGGGCTCTTTAGAGAGCTTCAAGTACTGTCCTAAGAGCAACATTTTATTGTTTCGATCCCAAGATTAAAAGTAATATTACATCCTTTGAACAAATTAAAAGAGACATAGGAGGATTCTCTAACCCATCAGATGTATATGTAATTGTGTCTTAGGGTTCTGTCCTGGGCTCTTTTCTCTTCTCCCTCTATACTATTTCCATTGATAATCTCATCAGTTCCTATGGATTCACTTACCATGTCTATGTTGATTCTCAAGTCTGCTTTGCTTTCCTCAATCTCTCTCCTGATCTCCAATCTCACATCTCCAACTGGATGTCCAGTAGACATCTTAAACTCAGTATGTCATACACACACACACACACACACACACACACACACACGTGTGTGTGTATACATATATATGTAAAATTATTCTATACATACTTCTATTTATCAGTTCTTTCTCTGGTTGCAGATAGTGTCTTTCTTCACATATCCTTTATAGTGAATTTGGGTATTTATAATAGACAAAATAACTTACTCACTCAAAGTTGTTCTTTAAGCAATATTGCTGTTACTGTATACAATGATCTCTTGGTCCTGCTCATTTGCTCTTCATTATTTTGGGTAAGTCCAGGTATTTCTAAAATCCATCTTTTGTTTTCTCTGCCAATTAGGTGGGTGTTAAGTATAACCTCAGGGTTTTGATTCGCTTTTCTCTTACAAGCAATATGGATAAATCTTCCATGCAGTTGTCAAGGTTGTTGGTTATTTTTTTTTAACTTTTTGTTCATATCCTTTGTTCATATCATTGACCACAGAATTAGACACACACACACACACACACACCTATTTGTGTTAGTTCCCTACATGTCTTGGACATTATAACATTATCAGAGATCATAGAATGATAGCTTTAGAATTAGAATGGAGTTTAGAGACCATCTGGCCAAAACCTTTCATTTTACTGAGATCCAAGTAGGTAAAGTGAATTGTCCACATGGGTAATAAAGGTTGGAGGTGGAATTGGAATTCAGTCTTCTGACTTCAGAGGCAGCACTCTTTCTACTCTACTATGCTGAGATATTTGATGCAAAGATTGACCCCACCCTATGTAATATATTCTGAGACCTTCTCTAATCTTACCCTCTCATTCTATCATCAGTCCATGAATGGGGAAGGAAAGAAAGGGGCAAAGAAAGGATAATGCCTGGTTTTCTCCTTCTCTATTCTTATCTTTCTAGACCTCCTTCATTTTCTCCCTCTTCCTTTTGTGCCCTGTCCTCTCTAGACTTTCATCTTCTCCTTGCAATTCTTCCCACTAAATCACTTTCCATCCTTCTGTATCTATTCTTCACTGCTCTGATATTTTCTCAGTATACACTCTTCTGTTCCTCTCACTCTCTCTCTTCTCTTTCCTATCCATTCCTCTTCAGTATTTCTCTTTCCTCTTCCTTTCTCAAACCCTACTCCTTGCCCTTCCTCTAAAACTCCTTTTCTTTCTTCCCCAACCCTTCCCTTTCTCTAAACCTCCCTGTTATCACTTCCTCATTACCCCCCTTCTCCATTATTTTCTTTGTCCCTCTTTCCCATCCCTCTATTCTCCCTTTTTGATCTATTCCCTCTTCCTCCATTTACCTTTCTATCCTTCCCTTCTTCCTCTTCAATCTTGATTCCTCTTTTCTCTCTCTCACATTAATTTTCTTTCTCACTCTCCCTTTCTTTCCACTCTCCAACACTTGATCTTATTTCTCTTTCCCATTTTCTGATCCTTCCATTCTCTTTCTCTCCTTCGACTTGGTTCCTTCCTCCTCCAACAGTCCCCTTTCTCCTTTGTCCCAGCACCTCTCTCAGTGTTCCTCTCCTTTTTCCATTTTACTTTGTCCCCTGCTATCCTTTCTTCTTTACCCTTCTCCAGTTGCTTTCTCCTCTACTTCCCACCTAGCTCTCCATCCTTCTTTCTCCTTACTCCTTACTCCCTATCCTTCCTCTCTCCTTTCCTTTATCCTTCTCTGACCTTCCTTCCCCCCTAATTCCAATTCTATCTTTCTCTACTCTTCTTCTACTTTCTTCATCCCTTCTCCTTTCTTTTGTCCATTCCCACTCTAGCCTTCTCCCTGTTCATTCCCACCTTTTCCATCTGTTCCCTTTGTATACATTCTCTTCCCCATCCCTCGCTCCATCTTCTGCTTCCTTCTTCTCTGCCCATTCTTTTCTGTCTCATACTTCTTCCTCTTTCAGTCTGTTTATTCTTCTCTCTAGCTCTCTACGTCTTTCTGTGTCTCCATCCTTTCCCCCTATCCATGGCCTAATGGATAGAGCATTAGAGCTAGAATCAGGAAAACCTGAGTTCAAATATAGCCTCAGACACTAGCTAAGTGTGACTATGCACAACTCAGCCTCTAATGACTTCAGTTTCCTCATCTGCAAATTGGAGATAAAAAAAAACCCAACTACCTCCAAAGGTGGTTGTGAGGATAAAATGAGATAATATTTGTAAAATGCTTTGCAAACTTTAGAGCACTACATAAATGCTAACTATTATCATCATCATTATCAATAATTATTAATGTTATAATATTAAAATTATTATGGTAAATTAATTTATTATATGGTATTTTACATATTATAATTATATGTTATATAATTATAATTAATTAAATTAATAAAAATAAAATTAACATTAACTAAATATTATTATTGTTACTACTACAACCCCCTCCGCGCCCCCCCCCGTAATTTCTTCTTGTCTTTCCCACCCACTTCTTTTCAACTACTCCTCATTCTCTCCAGCCCCACCCCTGGCCACTTCGTTCCCTCCCGGGTCCCTCCCTAGGCCCTCCCCCTTTCTCTCTCCTCCGCTCTCCCCTCTCGGCCCCGCCCCTCAGCAGCCGAGGCCCCTGCGCTCCCTCCCTCCCTCTGCTCCGGTTCTCCCCCACCTGTGTCCCTCCCACCTGGGGCCTCAGCTGCTCATGGAGAAGGCGGACGGCTTCTCAGAGGAGGAATTCCGGAAGGCCTGCGCGGAGCTGGAGGGCCCGGCTCCGGCAGGCGGGGGCTGGGAGTCGCTGGTGGAGTCGGAGGGCTTCAACCTCTACCGGCAGCCGGACGAGGTAGGGGCCGGGGCGGGCTGAGTCAAAAGACGCTAACCGCGGGCTGGGTCGGGAAGTGGGGGGGCGGGCTGTCATTGATCAGGGAGGCAGGGCTGGGGACTAACCCGGGGGGGGCCGGCTTCACCAAGGGGGTGTGCGCCTTGATAAAGGACGGACGGGAACGGGCTGCGCAGGGAGATAGGTCATTTATGTATGATATGTCACATGGAAGAGAAAGAGCTCACAACTCAGAGTCCTCTGTTACTGTAGTGGGGGAGGGCGGCGGGGGAGTTATCCAAGGACTGACTGGGGTTGGGATGGAGATTGAACAGAGGGTGTGTGTGGGTGGGCGGGGAGCGGAGACTGTGATGATGTTGGAGGTAGAGAGGAATAGGTCAGGGACTGGGGGATCACTAACTGTGTTTGTGACCTTGGGCAAATCGCTTCCCTTTCCCGGGCGCGCAGCTTCCTCTTCTGTAAAATTAAAGAGACCAATTCCTTCAGTAGCTTAAAGGCCTTTTCTAGCTCTAGTAGTCCAGGACTGCTACAGTTGACTCTAGACTACACAGTAAGTCTGTATACTACAGTAGACTATAGACTACACCTGCTTTGCTCTCTAATTGGCCACTAGTGCTTATAGGCACCCTCGCGATTCGTTGTACTTCTGAAGTTTAGGTAGAGAAGTTAGCTGATGGGATGGGGAGAGGACAGTAGTGCTGAGAAAGGCAGGGGAGTGTAGTGGGGAGAGTCAGAAATCTGGGGTCCCAGTTTTGCTAATCTTTAACCTGTGTGATCTCGGGTAAGATATCTCTCATCTCTTCCTCCTAATGTCTCCATCTATAAAATTAGAAGGTTGAATTAGATGATCTACAAGATCCTTTGCAATTCAAAATGATAGCTGTAGGAGGGGCTTGGGAGAACAGGTGCCCCAGCTAGTGCATTGTTGATGAAGCCCTGAGTTTGACCAGCCCTTCTGGAAAGCAATTTGGAACTAAACCCAGAAAGTTACCAAACTGCATGTTTTGACCCAAGTGCAGTAGTATACCAGTAGCAGACTTTTACCCCAAAGAGATCAAAGAAAGAGGAAAAGGATCTATTTGTTCAAAAATATTTATAGCAGCTTTTTTCATGATAACTAAAAATTGGTTGCAAAGGGGGTGGCCTCCTATTGGAGAATGGCTAAACAAATTGTAGTGTATGAATGTAATGGGATATTATTGTGCCTTAATTAATGATGAAATGTGAAGTTTCAGAGGAACAGAAGATTTTTATGAATTGATGCAGAGAAAAGTGAGCAGAGCTTGGAGAACAGTTTTTATAATGATAACAGTATTAAAGAGAAAAACATTTTTGGAAAAACTTTATAAACTTGATCAGTGTAATGATAAACCACAAGTCCAAAAGAATGAATGAAGATGAAACATACCACTGATTTGGTAGGAGGTGTACAACTTAACATTTTTGGTCATAACTAATATGGGACTTTGTTTTTCCAAACTGTATAGATATGTATTAAGCAATTTGTTTTTCTGCGTTTTTCTTTTTCTTTTTCTTTTTTATTTGCTCAATTGGGAGAGGAAATACTGGAAGGGACAGATTAATTTTTAAAATTACTTAAGAAATAAAAATAATAAACTAAAACAAAATATTCTTCCCAATTCTACCATTCTAGGATCACATAGTAAGTCTAATAAATGCTTTGTTGTTTTGACTTCACTTCTAATGGGATATTAATACATAGGTCATAGGGTGGTCTGAGCAACAAATGAGATAACATTTTAAGTGCTTTTCAGACTGCAAGATGCTAAATACAAATGAGAGGCATGGTAGAACATGGTATATGGAACATGGTATATGGTGTAATGGAATATGAGTCAGGAGACCTGTATTCAAAACCAGGCTCAGATATTTACTAGTCTACATAGATACTATGGGCAAACATCTCTGATCCTCAGTTTCTTCATCAGCAAAATGGTGATATTATCATTTAAAAGCTATTCAAGGATATGATTTAAGGGTTATTAAAGCTATTATTATTTAAGGACCTATGATCTAGTTAGTCTTAAGAACATTAGAAAGAGGATTTTTCTCCTCTAGAAGCATTTTGGGTGCTTTGGTAACCCCTCATTGTCACTAGAGGGAAGAATTATTTTCCTGATATCTTAGAGGATATTTTTACTACTTTTAACTGACATCATAGAGAGTCCTGATTAAAATTGATTTTCCTTTATCAATTACTTGATTTTTCTACAGATAAGTGTTTCTTTTTTCACCTTCAAGGAAATTCAATTCAACATACATTCATTAATTGCCTATTTTATGTGTGTATATATATATATATCTCCAGCTTAGTACAATGACTGACACCTAAAAGTTGCTTAATAAATGTCTATTATTTGATTGATTGTGTTCCAGGCACTGTGGTAGTTGTTGGGACCACAAATATACACACATACAGTTCTTTCCTTTAAGGAGTTGATACTTTATTAGCCCTGTATGGATCTATTTTCTGATTTAACAGAAAAGGATAGAATTCTGTAGCTATATGTAAAACAAGGTAATGTGAAATGGAGTCAAGTGAGAGAGTGTTCTAGGACAATTTGAGAAGAAGGGAAATTTTTTTTTTTCAGCTGGGGGACATTGTAGGGCTAAGATGAAGAGTAAAGTTTGTTTTATTTCAGGAAGGAGATGTGGATCAAATAAAGGGATCTTTCCAACTAGCTATACTGAAAATGATTATTTCTAGAGATAGAAATGATAGATGGCACAGTGGATAGAGCACCAGGTATAGAGTTAGAAAGACTCATCTTCCTGAGTTCAAATCTGGCCTCAGACACTGTGTGACCCTGGGCAAGTCACTTAACCCTGTCTGCCTCAGTTTCTTCATCTGTCGAAAGAACCTGGAAAAGGAAATGGCAAACCACTCCAGGATCTTTGCCAAGGAAACCTCAAATGAGGTCATGAAGAGGCAGACACAGCTGACACCACTCAACAACAACAGAAAAGATAGAAAATTTCTGGAATATGTTACAGTAGATAGATAGCTGGCTTCAAAGCCTGTAGGCCCAGGCTCAAGCCTTCCCTCTGTCACATCCTGGTTGTGTGACCCTGGGCAAGTCCCTTAACCTATTAGTTATCTAGATCCTCTAGGCAACTCTATAAATTATAAATTTCAGAAAAGGTGTCCCCCTGCACATTAGTAGATTATGTTTCATCACCCTGGTGATAACAACTCCACTTTCTATAGCTATATTTTTATTTATGTTATTCAGTTGTTTTTCAGTCATGTCCAACTTTTTGTGACCTGATTTGGGTTTTCTTGGCAAAGATACTAGAGTGCTTTTCCACTTCCTTCTCCATCTCATTTTACAGATGAGGAAACTGAGGCAAATAGGGTTAAGTTATTTGCCCAGGGTCACACAAATCTGGTCTGAGACCAGATTTGAAGTCAGGAGGATGAGTCTTCCTGACTCCAGGTGCACCGTGGAACCACCTAGCTGCCCCCATTTTTATCTATATCCACATCTATCTCTATATTTTTATGGGGAAAGGAAGGGAGAAAACACATTTGTAGGAAAATGAAACTACTGAGGGGAATGGTATGGATCAATTGAAAGAGTGCTAGATTTTGAGTTACAGGAATCCTGCTTCTGGCACTTAGTATTTAGGTGAAAAAGCAAGACACTTAACCTTTCAGGGCATTAGGAAGATGAGGATTTTCATCTGTTAGAGATTACCTCTGAAATCCCTAATTGGCTCTAGAGCTATGATGATGTGATCTTATCATTAAGTAAGCATAATTAATCATCATATTAATTAAGAGAAACATTACATCCATGTGAAGGTAGTACAGTCTGCCACTAAGAAGTTGTAAAAGATAAGACAGGTGATATGCCTTTCCTAGCCACCACTACCCTGGCATAGTAGACTGACCATTACACCATGGAATCAGAGCACGTGGGTATGTGGTGGCAAAAAAGCTGAGCACTAAAGGGAAACCCACCAACAGAGGAATGGCTACATACGTCGTGGTCTGTGCATGTGATGGAATACAGTGGTGCTGTAAGACAGGAGAAAATAGATGATTCAAAAAGACATGATGCAGAGTGAAGTAAGCAAACCCAGAAGAGCAATTGCTATTGTAACATTAATAGTATAAAAATAAACAATTTTGAAGAATTTTTATAAATTGATAAAAAATGAAATGAACAGAACCAGGAGAACAATTTATGTAGTAAAACAATACTGTAAAGACAAGTAACTTTGAAAGCTGTAAGAACTATGGTTAATACAATGACCATCCATGATTTCAGAAGATTGATAATAAAATACACTATCTACTTCCTGACAGAAAGGTGATAGAATTAGGATGCAGAATGAGAGGTACACACACATTTATATGTAAATAAAATAGGTATACACATATATAATATGTGTATAATATATATTTGTATATATGTGTATAATACAGAAATTACATGTATATATATATGCATATATATATGTATATATATAATATGTTTGTATCAATATATCCATTGAGGGAATTTGTTTTGCTTGATTATGCAAATTTGTTAAAAGATATATGTATATGTATATATATACATGTATATACACACACATACATATCTATCTATATCTATCTATCTATCTATCTATCTATCTATCTATCTATCTATCTATCTATATCTATCCCCAATGGAGTTGGAGATGGGAGAGATTAATAATAGATTTCTGTTAATTAAAAAAAATTAACAGTAGAATGGGGGGGTTGCTACAGATGTGGAATGTTGCTTGAGATTACTAAGTTGTTAGTTTTACTTAATTGTTTTACTTGGTTGAGGAGACCCCTCACAAAATAAGGATGATCTGTGAATATTTATAATGTAAAGAAAAAACACATCAGTAAAACTTTTTTTTAAAAAGACATTCCAATTCTAATACTATGTCTGTGACTATAGGCCTCAGTTTCCACATCTGTAAAATGGAGACAATAATGGTTGCCCCACTTTCCTCACAGA